GACTCAATTGCATGGACCTCTAGGGCATTTATTTAATTTGTTTTAGGTTGCATTGTCGGGTTTTGTACATACATTGTGGTTGGGTTTGATTTAGAAATATTTTATTTTGTGGGCGGTTTATGTGCCATTTAGTATATATTTTTGGAAGTTGGTTATGGCTGGTTTTACCATTTATACTTGTGGCATGTCACTGGATTGAGTGTTGATTTATTTATTTTTGGGCTTTCATCACATTTATTCTTTATGGTTTTGGGTTCATGTTTAGGCTTACGTGTGCCTTGGGCTAAGTCCCTGTGGGCCACGGCCGGTCATGCCCGGATTTGGGGCGTGACAAGTATTCTCACAAAAATACTTAACTGACACAAATTCGAGTAAGTTTTCTCATAAAAGTTTTGAACAACACAAAATCATGTAAGTTTTCACAAACTCATATAAGAGATCTCACAAAAATGTGTAAGTAACACAAATTTGAGTAAGTCATCCAATAAAATTTTAAACAACACAAAATCATGTAAGTTTTCACAAACTCACGTAAGTGATCTCACAAAAATGCGTAAATTAACAAAACTTTCCCATAAGTCATCTCATTAAAGTTTTGAAGAATACAAAATCAAATAAGTTTTCAAGAAATCACGCAAGTGATTTCACAAAAATGCGTAAGTAACACAAATTCGAGTAAGTCATCTAAAAAAATTTTCAACAACACAAAATCAAATAAGTTTTCACAAACTCACATAAGTGATCTCACCAAAATGCATAACTTAACATAAATTTCCTGTAAGTCATCTCATAAAAGTTTTGAGGAACACAATTAAGTAAGTTTTTACAAAATCACGTAAGTGATTTAACAAAAATGCATAAGTAACACAAATTCGAATAAGTCATCCAATAAAATTTTCGACACAAAATAAAATAAGTTTTCACAAATTCACGTAAGTGATCTCACAAAAATGTGTAAGTTAACACAAATTTCCCGTAAATCATCTCATAAAAATTTTGAGAAAGACAAAATCAAATAAATTTTTACGAAATCACATAAGTGATTTCACAAAAACGCATAAGTAATACAAATTCGAGTAAGTCATCTATTAAAATTTTGAACAACACAAAATCACGTAAGTTTTAACGAAATCACCTAAGTGATTTTACAAAAATGCGTAAGTAACAAAATCAAATCAACTATATCCTAAAACCAAAATAACTCCAAACGAATCCCAAATTTCGTAAAAAGTAGCCAAAATAACTTAAATTACCCACACACTAGATTGTGCAAAAGCAGCCAAATTTCAAGTATATCTATGGAACCAAAACAACCACCGAATCAAACAAAGATGAAAACAAAACCTATGCACATCATATTTTTCATAGTTTCAAAAACCAACCCACCCCAAGTGGAGTTCATAGAGGTGAAAGGGCGAGTTTTGAAATAAGGGAAACAAAAGGGGGTGTTGGTCAAGAGTTTCACAAAATGAGAAAGGAAGAGTTGAGGATGGAGAGAGAGAGAAAGACAAAGAGACAGAGGAAGAGTTTCATACCTTGAGGCAAAATGTTCAGATGTAGTTGTAGAAAATGGAGATAGAAAAGTTTTCACTTTGCGGAAAGGTCTTTGGGTAGCGTCGTAGAAGGGAGAGAAAAATTGTCTAAGTCGTGTTGGGAGAAAAACATTAGGGCTTTCTTAGAGGGGAGAAAGAGGGAGAGAGAAAGATAAACAGAAAGAGAGAGAGAGAGGGAGGAGTTCTTCATTCAGGACAGCAACTGGTTGAGAAGGTTTCAAGTTTTTTCCATTAAATTATTCAATGGTTGAGATTAGTTTGTGAGGATTCAATGGTTAAGATATAAGGTGCACATCATGTGCACCCTTTGAAGGGTTCACATGGTCACAAGACTCGAAAATCAAAAGTGACAAAATAGTGAAAAAGAAAAATTCTTTATTTTTTGCAAGAAACATTTGCGTATATTTTGCAAGAAATCGAAAAGCAACTTTCCATGTTACTATGGTTCGTACATAAAATTTAATAATCTTACATTTTCCAACATTATCATTTATCATGCTAAACAAACAAGGAAAAAAAAATTCAAAATTTTCCCTTTCTCACACTTTCCACTACTTCAATCCTAAAGTTTAGGGTTGCTAGGAAAGCTTCCACGCTTAGAGGGAAGACAATAATTCATGGATGATCTTAGCATCAATACACTTTAAAAAAAGTATGCGGAGGAAATTTATTTTATTAAACATAAGCTTCATGTGGATTGAAAATTAAAATTTAAATCGTATAATAGAGGAAGTTCATTTTAATAAACATAAGCTTCATGTCAACTGCTTTTTAGCTAAAATTAAAATCATATACTTCAATTCTTTTTAGCTTTTCACACTTTTTTGTTGGTTGGAGTCTCTTCCCCGTTATCTTGTCAATTGCTCATGCTTAAACAAGGATACAAGTGAAGTTCAAGTACTATTTGATTAGCATTTTTTAAAGTATTTCTATTGTATGTGAACTACACTCGCTTATATATATATACTTATATTTTTAGAAACCAATCGAACAAATGATTTACTTGAGATGGCTATTTAATTAAACTAGAACAACAAGTATTAAACATTACCAAAAATGCTTGAACTAACTATTTGTCCTAACTTACAAATTGGGAGGTCCCAACCACAAGTTATAGTTGCTTCATGTAAATATCACTAAATATATTTTGGATAAATCTTTGGAGAACATGTTAAGTCAATCACAAGTTTTCAACATCTAAATGCAATGAAAATATAGTTCTAAAATACTTTTTATTTAAATTGTTAACGAACTAGGCATTTTTACAAATATCTTAAATGCAATCAAAATTCAAATAACTTAATTAGCTCTATAAGTTTAATGCCAAAATTTCTCATGAAATATTTTGCAACAAGTCATGGAAGCAAAATATGGTTACAAAATACTATATTAATTAATGTAAAAATGAATTATTTCATTACGAATGTCGACTGAGATATATAAATAGAAAAATAGAACAAAATCCTTATCGAGCCTTGCTTTAGTACAAATTTCGAATCACCGTGAGCCAAGAGAGACTGGAATAGAAATTCAGATAGAACACTAAAGACACATAGGGTAAAAATCAGAGAGTATAGTTTTAGAACATAGAGGATTTTAGAAATATCCACAGAGAGTAAAAAATGTTCAATCGATTGTTCCGGTGTCCAATTTTCCAAATTTAAATCAAAATGTATTTGTGTAATCCAATGGCCAATGATGAAGTTGCACTAACAGTTCCTTATAGAATATTCTAATTCACAGGCTTGTTGAGGTCATGGTGCGCCACTCTAGTTTTGTGCTGATGGGTTCAGATATGAATCATAATCTTGGGTTTAACTCACTTTTTTTAAAATTGAGCTTTTTTTTTTATTTTTTATTTCTTTAGTGATTTTTTTAAAAAAATAATTGGATAAATTACTAATAGGTCCTAATAATTAGAGTTAATTCTCATCAAGTCCTACTAAAAATGGGTCTTAGTAAATCGTCGCTAAAGATAATTTTTTGTGACGATTTTTTACGTATATCGCTAAAATTTGACAATTAGTGACTTTTTTGTCACGATTTTTATAAATTGTCGCTAAAACTTATAATTAGTGACGTTTTCTGTGGCATTTTTTAAACTGTTGTTGAAAATTGAAAATTAGTGATAGTTTTTTGTGACGATTTTTTTAAATTGTTGCTAAAACTTATAATTATGGACATTTTTTGTGACAATTTTCAAATTATTGCTAAAAATTAACAATTAGTGACTTTTTTTAATAGTGTTTGATGAAAAGTGCCATTAATTCTCAAAGGACCTATTAGGACCTACACGTAGGTCCCCCTAGATATTTTAATTTTTTTATTTTTTAGATACACTTAATATAGAGACACTTGAAAAGAATAATGTTTGTGAAAAAAAACTTTATGAAATTCATCAAATACAAAAAATATGAAAATTCAATAGATTTTCATATTTTGTTATATTCAAGAAATTTTTTAAAAATTTTTGTACAAATTTTATACTTTTTAAGTATATCAAAATTAAGTGGATCTAAAAAGAGACATTTATTCATAAATCCCTCTTTATCTACTTGTGTTCCACTTAGTCCAAATTATTTTCTTATGTTCCAATAAGAACTATGAGTGACATAATTACCAAAATACCCTTAATAATAATAAGACGAAATGCACATTAATGTTTATATTGACAATGTGAATTTTTCGTGATGTTCACACTATCAATGTGAATATTTGCACTTCATTGTGAACATTCACATTGTCAAATATGAATATTCACATCGTCAAATTACTAATGGTTCAAAAAATATTTGTAAGGATAAAATTATCTATAAAATACCTTAAATATAAGAATTAAGATTTGGTGGGTCAAAAATTCAAATAATAGGAATTATTGAAATGTAAGAATATATTATAAACTAACTGAGATACGAGTATTTGAAAAAGAATTTCCAAATAAATTTTCCATATAAAGAGCAAAAAACATTGATTAAAATATTTTTAAAATTATTAAAATATAAAAATATGAATTAAAACTCAAAAAACTGTTGTTAAAAACTTGACAAACATGTTGCTAATAATCTAGGGCTTTATGGCCTAGGTGGTCTATAAAATTATTACTTTGATAAAATTTTTATTAAGCTTTGCATATTCACTTATTTTCAACACCTATTAAGCTTTGCATATTCACTTATTTTCAACACCTATTATTGTTTCTAATATGTTTCTTCATCTATCTTTTAGTTCAGGTTGGTTTTTTCTATTCTAAGCGTATGAAAAAATGACAATGCAATTGCAAACTATATCAAATCATCCAAAGATGGGAACTATATATATATAATACAAAAACATTCAAATCATGAACACACAAACATTCATGTATATATATCATAGACACAACACAAATCAAATTTGTGAATACCTTCAATCCATGAATACAACTACTAAACACGAGACGGAGATGAATAAATAAATAAAACCCAGACTCAAAAGCAATAGTAATCAAAACCCTCAGAAGAGATTAAGATTAACTAGATAATTTTTCAGATTCTTCATTAAGAAATTAAATATTTCTTTTACAGAAACATAACAAAATCGATCACAAAATAATAATAATAATAATAATAATAATAATAATAATAAATTGTTCGTGTCCCAACCAACTCCTAGAATACCTCCTTTGATCCCCACCACTGTTCCCTCCACCATTCCCTCCACCATTAGTGTCCTTTGATGGTGGTGATGGTGAAGATGTACCACCAAGCAGTGGTGCAGGGGAGGGTATTGAAATATTAAACTTACTAAGCAGTGCATTTGCCTTGATGTCTAACAGGTCAGCAAGTTCACATTCACTGAAGGTTGCTTCACTTCGGACATCTGCTGCTTAGAGTTGAACCCTGTCATCGATTTCAGCAATTCAGTAGCTAGATGCCGCGTTAGTGGCTGGCTTCAGCATGGTATTGAGTAACCCATGGATGATCATCAAGTTAGAGATGATCTCCTAAAATAACTCCCTCCTCCATTCCCTCCACCACCGTTCCCTCCACCATTAGTGACCGGTAGTGGTGGTGGTGGTGGTGGTGGTGGAGATGGCAAAGATACATACCAGCAAGTGCAGCAGGGGAAGAGGGTACTGCTATGTTGAAGTTTTTCAAGAGTGCATTTACCTTCAGGTTCAACTCTCTCAAATCCACCGTAATGTTCTTCACTTTCATCAAAATGTCCTTTACATCCGTCATCTATTGCCTAGTGTCTAGTCAATCATGGAGTTGAACAACTCAGTGCTTCCCTCGTTGCGGGTCTTGTTGCGGACAGAGGCCAAATTGGCTTCTCATTTGAGCATTGAATCCACCACACCTTGAATAACCAGCAACTTCGACATTTCAAGTCCTATACATTTCACAAACAGTTTAATTCAGTTAGTATATAAACCAAACAACAACACGAAGAAAAGAAATCAAAATCAAATGAAATAAAATATACCCATTTAGGATCCTTGTTGAGAGTTTCATTGTCCTTCTTGTTCTTTATCTCAAGAAAATCTTTCTCCCTCTATCTCATCTATTTCTCCATCCTTACTGGCCAAACATGACTGCAGTCATGTTATCAGAAATGGAATCTCCTACACAACAGTATCTATATGAGAGAAGAATTTATACTAACAAAAAATTTAAGGAAATAGTATATCTGTCAAAAATGTTCTATAAAAATTTATTGCATTTTGAATAGTAAATATCTCATAACATTTTTTAATAATATATATATATATTTAGAACAGTACATAATTCTCCATGGGTTAAAGTGTATATACCCATGGCAAAAGTGAGTCTCATTAAGCTTGTAAATGTGTGATTATAGTATGTGTGCTCTGCAATAAACAAATTAGCAACTCATCAACTAAATTATCTGAACCCACCAACCCATTAAACAATTCTTAATTAGTGTTGACACTAACAAATCTTATAAAAATTAGTGTCAATACTAGCAAAGTTTATCAAAAATTCGTGTCGACACTAACGTCAACACTAGCAAAGCAAAGAAAATCAAATAAATTCAAATCAAAAATTAGTGTCAACACTATTGTTGGGAAATTGATAAAACTCAATTTTCTATTCAACCATACAACCTCATCATTCTCTTAAATTACAAATTAAACTCATCCCGAATTTGATCCCTTAACCTTGCTCTCTTATGCTCTCAGGTTGGTAAAAGAGTGTAGATGAATTTAGTTGAGTTGTTATTCATTAAAGGGGTTGAGCACACAAATAGTTAAGAAATCAATATTTGGTTGCTTTTTATTATGGAAGAGGACTAGCTAGCAGCAATGGCAATAATAAAAGATAAATAAATAAATAAATTGAAAGTTGTGGAGCAAAGCACTGAAACAGGACTAAAATACAGGTAATGATTTTTTAACAAACAATGATAAAGTTTGAAGTAGAGTTTGAATTTCTTTTTGAAAAATTAATATTTTAATCTCTTAATTCCACAACGGTAGGCTAAATAGCTAGCTACAAATAAAATCTAACTTTTAATACATGTGTTAACAGCTCCATTGCATGAGATAAATGCAATAAATGTTCACTAAGTTTTCATAAACTGCTTCAAAACTCTAGCCAAATTGTAAAAAATACAAAATAAAAAATGATGTAATATTTCTTTGGTTCGCCATCATTGAAAATACCAAATTAGAAAGGATAAACTAATTTGAGCACATGAAACTTCTACTCAAAAACCAATTTTTGATGAAAATCTACAAAGCAAACCTCAGAACATTTGGAAGTCCCCCAAAAGATTTCCTTTTGTTCTTTCCAAAGATATGTGTCTTGCACAACCATGGTCCATTTGCACACACAGAGACCCCCCAAAAAAAATGACAGACATGTCAACATAGAACTACTTTGAAGGCTTGGAATAAGATAGATAAATGATACAACAAAAATTCCATCACCAATTTTAAAAATCCGAACTGACAATAAATTCATAAAAAGAAAATTCTTATAAGCAATCTCTCATAAAAAATAAGAGAGAGAATCTCCAAGAACCATTTGAGAGATCATAATTTGCTGCAAATAGTTTTTTTTTTTTTTTCTGAAAAAAAAAAAAAAGTTGCAATGCTATGCCTAGTAAGCTGCGTGGTTCAAAGCTTCAGTGGGTAGAGACTATAAGAATACAACGTACATACTGTTTCTACAAAGGAAATTAGTTACATTTAGAATCATTGCAAATGCAAAAAGGTCTGAGTTACTCCCATGCACCCTCTGATTGATGGTCAATCAGTTTAGTATCAATACTTGTTCTCCTATTTGTGTAGAAACCCGGGAACGTTTATTTACAAGACGGATCTATTGAAGGCTGTTGCCATAAAGATTTTATTAACATCAACCCAGAAACATCAATTTCACCACTCTTACCTGCACAAGATAGATGTATGTTTTCAAGCATCAATTTCACCTCTCTTACCTGCACAAGATAGATGTATGTTTTCAAGCGGTAGCTGCATCTATATTTATTATTTAACGTATCAAGTGAGCATTTGCATTGAACATGGCAATCTCCAGGGGGAGAATGAAGAAGAAGACTAGCATATTTACAATTATAAATAAACATACAGAAGTTTAGTATGATGTCCACTAGCTCTGAGTCAAAAGGGTGACAAATAAAGATCAATTCTCTTTTTTGGTTAAGAGGCCAGCAAAGTTACCTTTAAGCCAATCGTAACATTATTGCATCACAAAACCTCTACTACAAAGGGAACTCTCACAATTAGACACATATTGGCTAAACATTCAAATGAAATCTGAAGGGTTTTTATTCATCTCTAGAACATACCTAATGTAATACTAAACCCTGATGTTGAATTTGCAGCTAAATGTGCAAATTTTCTTCTTAGCATAATGGAATATTTCTGCAATTGATAAACCACCAATGCATGCCCTTCAATTACAGCATAGATGTCAATAAATATCAACAGAATGATATGGAAATACTACAGTTTATGAATTGCTTAGAAGAAAAAGGAACGGCCATAAATTCATCAGATTATATGAATTGAAATTTAGGCCTCGTTTGGGAACAGACTAATTTAGTAACTTTTTGGCTATTTGGCTAAAAAGGTAGGTAAAAAAAACTTGTATGTTTGGGATGACTTTTTGGCTAATTACGAAAAGATGTGCAAAAAGTAGAGAGAAAAGAGAATCTTTGACTTTTTGGTATGGGTTGTTGGCTTTTTGGCTAATTTAGTAACTTTTTGGCTAATTGGCTAAAACAGCCTCTTGGCAAACGAGGCCTTATTCTCTCTGTTCTTACCTGCACAGAGAGAGGGGGAGCGAGAGAAATCAAATTTCTAAATACATAGACTTGATTCTTTCTATGTCACTTGTTTCCTTTTTTCTTTTTCTTTTTCTAATCTTTTTCCTTGTAATGTTGGAGTTGTTCAAAGATGCAGTTTCTATAGCCTTGCAACTCCAGATCACCATAATGGCTATAGATAATCTACTTGGGTTAATTCGAAACATTTTTCAAGCTCTAATATTTCAGTCTGATCTTGAAGAGACTCCCAGGAATAGAACTTAGAAGCTACCAATCATTAAGATGTATGGACAGGTTACATAAGTCTTATTGTTCCAGATGAATGTACTGTAAGGACAAAGAGAGCCAAAATGAACATAGAATGAATTCACAAGATATCCATTAAACAATAATAAAACAAGACTCCTACTATAGTTTCAAATATATATCTATGTACACATACATATAGATTTAGGTGTTCAAACAAATAGATGAAACAAAGCTTTTCCAAGTTTGTGATGGATGGCTTCGGCTGATAAATTGAGTGAGGCATTCAGGGTATATTTGTCTTCTCAAAATTTATTGAATTTGACGATAAAAATGAATTTTATATAAAATTATGACTACAAGCAAAATAGTTTTAAAAAAAATATTTTCCGTTAACACAGCAGTGTCACAAGTCATTTCAAAAATCACAAGGGCAGATTTTGAAATTATCAGAAACCTCAAGGGAGGTCAGTGTATGTGTAATTTACTCAAATAAAAATAAGAATAATTTGATGCTTGTGGTGCTGAAAAAGGCTGCTACCCTTGGATGTAATGATGAGGAATTAAGCTTAAGCCTTGTATGAGGAAGCAAACAGCAAAGATCAAGCTCCTGCAGTTGCAGGTACTACACAAATTCCTTGATTCCACAAGAAATCCTTCCCAGTCCAAGATGATACAGCCTTTAAAACTCCATCATGGATTTGAATAATCTCCATAATCAGCACACGGGTCCTTTAACAAAGTCCCTGCACCATTATCAGAATGAGGGTGCAAATTAAAACTAGATCGATGGGTTGATGAAGTCAATTAGCAGTACATGACCTTCAATTGGAGCAAAAACATGAATGAACTTCTGATAGTCACCACAATCAACACAAGAATATATGTGCTAATAAATACCAATAGAATAATATAACAATAATATGTATTTGAATAGCTTAGAAGAAAAGGAACAGTTGTCAATTCAACAGGAACTTGCTCTTGCCATTGAATTAGGTTAGCATCGAGGTATGTGAGGAGGGGTTTCCTAGCACTGCGGCGGCGATATGAACCTTCAAAAGAGGGGAATCAAAAATTTTGACAGGGTGAAAGAATTATGAGGCATTATGTACATAAATGGACATTATAAAACAACAATAGGCATTCGAACAAGGCAAGAATTGGCTCACCCACTACTGGGAAGGGTATCAACTTTTGAATGGATTTATTCCTTGTTTTTTTTTTTTTTTTCCCCATCCATTTAACAATGACAATCTTATCTATGATGTAAATCCTCTCAAGCTTTGTTTAAATCTCATAGAGCACAAAGACCAACAATGATTGTAATTTGTACCCAATTTGGCACACTACAACAGTAATGCCTCTTCCAACACCACAGTCAGAGATATTTAATCTTCTACAACTACTAAGAACATCTCTAACGGTTCACCAAACATGTCATCAAATCTGAGTAAAAATAATGTGACCAATTCCTCTATTTGATATCAGGTACTCCAACGGTGACTACTGTACCTTTCATCAAACCACAAGACGTCTAAGGGGTCGGCTGGCCGGTCAATGGGCAAGAGCAAAATTATTATTTTTTTTTTTCCTTCATTTCTGTTTCCTCAATTCAAGCAAGAATTCTTCAAAATATCCACAGTGAGAATTCTCACTGGAGACAGAGCATAAATACCTAACAGACAATTTAAAATTTGTGCAAGAACAAATATGAATACAATTACGCAAACATAAAAACAAATCAGAGTAACTGAGAACCAAAAACCAAAAAATACTCTTTTGGAAAAAGATTGAACAACTGTTAATCAAGAATACGTGTATATACATATGCAGTTAACAAGAACAAAAAATGGGAAGATTGACGAATTCAAAGCTAACCGTTATGCAAAGAAACAGCATTTAGAGGATACCCATTTGAGGATTTGAGCTCAAAATGCTTTCTTGAGCGGATTCTTGAGCGAATCTGGGATACCCATTTGGAGGAATAGGTTCTTCATGGGACAATGATGAATTTTGTGCAGAGATGTGTCTTGTGTTTGAATGAAGAGGTTGAGAAAGTGGATGAAGAGGAAGGACATGGACTGAATTGTGTAGCCATGAAATTAAGTGATGATCAAAGAGAGGAGAAAAAGAAACTTAATGGATCAGAAAGAAAGAGACTGAATGGTTAGTGTTTTGATAGAGTGATGACGAGCAAGAAGGAGATGAAGCTATCATACTTTTTGGCTTGAGGTGGTCGACCCTGTCGACCGGGGGTCGACCTCTTAGTGTAAAATTTTCAGAAAATTTTGCTTAAGGTGGTCATCCGGCCGGACGTCCGGTGGGTTCACACTCAACGGCTATACATAGTAAATTGCTTAAAGGTGCAAAACATCTTCAGCTTGGTGAAATTTTTTGGATGTTCTCAATTTGATACCGTTTTGGTGAAACCGTTGGAGCACAAAAAAGTACCCCTTTTTCACCAAATTTGAATTTGATGATAGATTTGGTGAAGGGTTGGAGATGGTCTAAGACCATAAATTCTCTTTCAGAGGACTAGTTGATGACCATATACCTAAGAAAGAAATCTTCAAAAGTACCACTCGCTGTCATTTGTCCTAAATCCCTAAGAAATGACTACTTGTACATAATTCAGTGGGGACTGAAAAAGAATCTACTTGACTTTGTAACATGTGAATTAAAATACAGCAGCGAGAGGTAACAAATAGTCTACAAGAATCTACAACATGTGAAAACATGTTGCAAAGTCATGTAGCAACAAGTCCAAAATAGTTGATGGAGATGTATAAGCCCATGTCAATGTATAACCCAAAAAAAAAAAGAGTTTCACCTAATAATATATATTTTAATGTGTGTAGCTTTACCTTCACATCTTAATAAATTTACTCAATATCATGCATTCCATGACTATCTTTTGGCATGAACTTCTTTATCACTTCTCGAAGAGCCGGATCTTGTCCTTTAGTTGAGAGTATATCTACGATCAAGGAACAATTGGATGCATCTGCTGAAAAACCCCTCTGAACCATTTCCTCAACGAGTATTAATGCCTCATAGCACTCGTGTTGTCCAATAAATCCTCGGATAATAGTGTTGTAAGTGACATCATCTGGCAAACAACCATTATGTTCCATTGTAACAAACAACTTTTGAGCTTCATGCAATAGGCCTTCTTCACAAAGACCATGTATCATCATATTATATGTCTTAACATTAGGATGTAATCCCTTGGAAGAAAGGTTATTGAAAATAGCCCTTGCAATATCAAGCTTTTTATCCTTGCAAAATGCATCAATGAGGATATTATACATAACAATATTAAGATGTAAACCGTTGCTTTCCATCATGTGGAATAATGACAACGCTTCAGAAATATGGCCATTTTTGCACAACCCATCCAATAAGATACCATAAGTTTGAGAATCTGGATTTATGCCTGCAGTTTGCATATCATTGAAAAGTTTTTGAGCAGCTCCACATCTACCTGTTTGAAACAAACCCCATAACACAGCACTGAAGGTTTCAATGTTAGGTTTCAACCCCCTTCGAGACAATTCTTGAAAGAGATGCATGGCCTCATCAATTTTCATCTTCTTGCAATATCCATTAATCAAAATGTTGTGACTAACAATGTTACAGTGAAGGCCCCTATCCACCATGGTATTGAACACTCTGATTGCTTCATCCATTTGGCCTTGCAAACAATATCCATCCATTAGAGCATTGTATGTGACTACATTAGGATCCACACCTCGTTGTATCATGATTTCAAGTACCACCTCTGCCTCTTTCATCTTCCCTTCCTTGGTACATGCATCCAGCAACACACTATACGTATGAACATTCGGAGCGATACCACTATCCAACATTTCTCTAAACATTCCGGCAGCCTCCTTCCACCTGCCAAAATTACATAGGCCATGAATCAAAGAGGTATAAGTGACAACATCTTGACGAATGCCTTGTTCATTCATCTTAGAATAGAGTTTCATAGCATCATCCAGCATTCTATCCTTGCAAAGGCTGTCAATGATTGTGGTATACACTACGGTGTTAGGTTTACAACTTCCCTCTTCCATTATCCTAAGCAAACTAACAGCCCTGATAGTGTTCCCCGTTCTGCAGAGCCCATTAACAATGGTTCCATACATAACCACGTCGGGTTCAATTTCTCTCATTCTCATTAATTTCTTAAATAACTCTACAGCTTCAGGGGTTTTATCGTCCAAAATAAGTCCATTTAACAGAGTGTTGAAGGTAGTTACATCAGGTGTATAACCGCGTTTGAAGAGGGTACCCAAAAGAGAGAACCCAAAATGGACTTGATTCAGGCGGCAATAACAGTTAATAGCAATGTTCAACGTGAAGATATTGACCTGAATGCCTAGAAAATGCAATTTCCCAATAAGACGAAGTGCGATGTCGTAATGACCCATTTTCAAAATAGGTCGTAAAGCTTTAGTGCATTGAGAAATGGGAGGGAAAGGTCGCATTTGGATCAAGCGATTGAATGAATTTACAGCGTCTGGGAGATCATTGCATCGAACAGGAGGAGAACTAGGGTTTCGGGTAGTAGTAGAGAGAGAACGAAACAGAAGAAATAAGAATGAAGAGGGATGATTAATTAGAGAGGGAAATATTCTACCTTTTTGACAATTATGATCAGCAATTCTTCTTCTTCTTCGTCGTCCAATAATGGAAGAAACAGACACTCTTCTTGACATCTTCTTCAAGCTCTGTGTGTGTGTGTGTGTGTGTGTGTGTGTGTGTGTGTGAGAGAGAGAGAGAGAGAGAGAGAGAGAGAGAGAGACAAGGGTGCGTGAGACGGAGAGAAAGAGCGAGAGGAAGAGTTGTTGACGAAATATTTATAAATTCTTCAAAAAAAATTTATAGCTTTAATTGTTAAAATTAATAAATTTTACTATTAATTTAAAATTATTTTTGAAAACATATATTAATTTGCATTAATAAATAAATCTTTTTAGTTCTATCTTAATTCCTTAATTTATTTTTAATCTAAATGATTTATATATTTTCATCAAGTTAAATAGAAAAAAAAAAAAGAGAATTTTATTTATTAAATTCAATGTAAGTATATAAATTTTAGTTTTAAATAAATTATAACAACATTACTTTAAAATATAATCAAATACAATAACAAATCCTAATCAACTTTATTTTAATAATTTGCCTCCTCCACCACCATAATGAGTCCGAATCCTCGGCCGCCTATTCTTGCGGCCATTCTTGCAACACCCCCAAAACGACGTCGTTTTGGAGGAAATTTTAATTAAAAAAAAAGAAAAGAAAAAGAAGACAAAACAAAATCAAAGAAGAAGGAAGAGGACAGATCTCCTTCTCTGGGTCCTTCAATCTCTGTTGCTCTGTTCAATCGGTTTTTGTGTGTTGAACAAAAATGAAGATATTGATGATGATGATACATTTGCTCTGTTTTCTTCAATCTAGTTTCTTCACATTCAGAGGAAAAATAACATGTATCAGCAAACTCAACATTTCGAAGCTTTGAAAGCAAGTCCTGAATGTCCCCAAAAAACCCTATTTGAATGCAAATCAAACACCTTCAGTTGCATCCATGAATCAAACCCACTTTGAGTCGACTCTGAATCAAACCCATTTTGGGCTGAGTTGAATCCATTAATCAAACCACCCATTTGAATGCAAATCAAACACCTTCAGTTGCATCCATGAATCAAACCCACTTTGAGTCGAGTCCGAATCAAACCCATTTTGTGTTGAGTTGAATCCATGAATCAAACCCACTTCGATTCCATGGTGCTAAGATGAATCCATGGTGCTGAGTTGAATCCATTAATCAATCCATGAATCCATTAATCAAATCCATGAAGTGAATCCATGAACCAAACCCACTTTGGAACACACAAAGTGAATGAATGGCATCTGTTATCCATCTCTCTCTCTCTCTCACACGGCGATGCAGATTTCTTCTCCTTTCTTCCTTGATTCTGTTTTGTCTTCTTCTTCTTTTTTCTTTTTTTTTTAACTGAAATTTACCCCAAAACGACGTCGTTTTGGGGGTGCCGCAGAAATGGACGGCCGAGGATCCGAACTCCACTATAATACCTTTCCTTTATCTCAAAAAGATCTCTCCCTCTGTCTCATCTGTTTCTCCATCAATTCTTGCTAGCCAAACATGACTGCAGTCATTTTATCAGAAATAGAATCTATACTAACAACGAAATTTAAGGAAATAGTATATCTGTCAAAATGTTTTATAAAAATTAATTAAATTTTGAATAGTAAAATATCGCATGACATTTTTTAATAATATATTAATTTTTCTGTAAATTTTTTTGATAGTGTGATTATATGTCATATTTATTGGGTGATGTTGGTACACTAACAGAGTGAAGTGGTGATAATGAAGATGGTGATTGGATTATCATGAATTTGAATAGAGTTATCTTCATGTCTGTAACGTCCCGATATTTTAATACAAATTACCAAGATATGATCCTCAACAACAATAAAATATTCCTTAACACTTCTAGGTAATTATGCTCTTTCTCATTGAACTATGTCCCATCAAGTACATAATTGTTTCCAAAAATGAACATTTGATTATACACTATAGTTCAAAGAGTTAGAGTGATATGAAAGAGAATACCCTAATGGCTTACATATTTCAAGACATTTGTCTTGATTACACAAAATGAATTTCATTCCCAAAACATTAAAACTCAGTAGCTTGAGCACAATTCAACATCCAATAAACATTTCGTGCTCCATCAAAAGCAATCACCACCATCTAGCAATTAGGTGGAAACACATTACCTATTCCTGAAAAGTTAATGATTGGAATGAGCAAAGTTGCCTAGTACGAACACATTTAACAAAGGGTAAATTACACTTTGCACCCCTGCACTTTATACCAAATCTCACTTTGGCCCTACACATGAAATCATGATAGTCAACCTCCTACACTTTTGGTCAAATCCCACTTTAGTCCCTGCACATGGAATTGTGACAATCAACCCCCTATACTTTTGGTCAAATCTCACTTTGGTCCCTGTACAAGTGTCAATGTCCACTTTCAGTTACTCAATTGTTTAAATCTTTGACAGAATCTAGTCATGTGATAAGAATGTGACTACGACATGAGAGTAAGAAAGAAAAATTATCTACATTTTTCACCAATACACACTTTACCCCAAAATTTACATCAAAACTGTATTAGGTTAAAAAAATACAAATTATGAACAATTAAGAAGATAAACTAGGGTTTTGCATAAATTAGAATCATGAAACTCTATTTTTCACGGTAACACAATTTTTATCTATTCATATTTCTTTCTCTTTGATTTCTTTGAACCATTTTTTTTTTTTTAATTTCAAAAGCTCTATTTTTTGCCTTTTCATCCCAATTTTTACCATACGAACATTGCAGCAAGGGAATATGGGATATCTAGGGATTTAGAGAAACAAATACCTTGTTGTCATATTTGATTGTGCATGATGTTTCCAATTCAATTTGATTTCAATGTTTTCCTATCTCAAGTATTTGTAGGAAAATCTTTGGTTTGCTTCAATGGCTATCGAGAAAAACTAGGATTTTTTATTTTCTTAGCTTTCTCACTCCTTTCTATCTCATTTGTTTTTATTTAAAATAGAAAGTATTTTTAACTAGCCCTATGTGTTTATTGGTTTCCAGGGAGCCAAGAGGGAAACAAGTTGATATTAACTAATGAAGCAATTGGTGTACCTTAATCTTGCTACATGAAGCAGTTGGTATATCTCCTATACATTGATATATATATATACACACACACATATGTACACAATCACACACATGGATAAGGTTAAGGGTGAGCCTACTGAAAATCCATAGGGAGATGACGGTGAGCCTACTAAAAATCCAGATATGTTATATTTGTTACATGGATTGTTGGTAGAGGTTGTAGGTGAACCTATTGAAAACCCAAATACATTGTTTCATTTATTGTAGCATTATTGACTTGAGCAATGCATTATGATTATTGGTTTTGTTGGAATCAACTCCCGAAGACCGCATGTTCTTCAAACTCATGTGATATTAGATAATACTTAGGCTTAAAGGTCAATGTTACTGGAATTGTTATTGGAAATCTAGTAGCTTCTGTCGCTATGGTAGCTAGGGGAAGAGTTGAGTAGAGATATCTAGATCTGAGACAAAAGAATATATATTTGAGTTTAAGGAAATTTTTAACCACCATATTTGAGTTTAAGATAAAGTTATATGTGAACCTAAGGATAAAGATGTCGGACACACAATGCCAAATCGTATTGTAATAAGACATGAACCCCCATTTACAATATATTGCATGGCACGTTTACACTATTTTTTTAGATGCTATCTCATGGCTGGCAGCTTGCTTGTTGATGTTGATGCAATGGCAATGGAGAATGCTACTTGTTACTGATTTTTTTTTTTTTTTAATTATGGGAAAATATTGTATCTTTCATTATCATGTACCATGTACTTTTAAATATTTTAAGTTTACTATATTTGTGGATAATATTAATAATTTTTTGCTTTTTAATTTTTTTTTTTATATATATATTTGGTTGTGAATGTGTAGATGTTAAATATGTCATTTGTACAAGTATTGTTTATATATTTCTTTGTAATTTTTATTTTTTTGTTTTTTATTTTTTTTATAAAAATATGGCTTTTTGCGATGGCAGTTGTTGTCACTAGGGTTGTGCAAAATACCACCCAATCCGCTAAAACCGCACGATCCATGACAATCCGCACTGCTCTAAGTGCTAATCACGGTTTAAACTTTGAAATTTATAATCCACCTTTCAAACCGCTACTCTTCTCTATAGTTAATACATATATATTTTTTAATCTCTAATAAAATATCAAAGTAAAAATGAGTATGAGAGAGATTTAAAATATGAAATTTATTACAAATTACTAATTATATATATGAAACATATTATGTAAAATTACTTTGTGTTATATTACTCGGTAAATTCTCAATAAATTTCAAGTATATTACTCAGTAAATTCTCAGTAAATTCCCATTAAATTTCCAGTAAATTGCTTAGTAAATTTTCTGCAAATAACTCAGTAAATTTTCAATAATGACTCAGTAAATTACTCAGTATTTCTCATTAAGTAATCAGTAAACACCCTGTAAATTACTCAGTAAGTTGACAGTAAATTCTCAACAAATTTCTCAGTAAATTCCCAGTAAATTCTCAGTAAATTTCCAGTAAATTATTTAGTAAATTCCCAGTAAATTCTCAGTAAATTACCAGGAAATTCCTAGTTCCAGTAAATTCAAAGTAAATTACTCATTAATTTTGCAATGAATTCTCAGTAAATTACTCAGTAAATTCTCAGTAAATTACTCAATAAATTCCCCATAAATTTTTAGTAAATTATTAAATAAATTCACAATAAATTCTCAATAAATTGCTAGTAAATTCCAAATAAATTACTCAGTATATTCTTTATAAATTGTCCGTAACTTTTTAGTAAATTGCTAGTAAATTTATCAGTAAATTCTTTGTAAATTCTTAGTCATTTTTAAGTAAATTCTCATTAAATTACTCAGAAAATTTCCTGTAAATTCTTAGTAAATTACTGAATAAACTTCCAGTAAAATACTCTATCAATTACTTAGTAATTTCTCAGTAAATTCCGTGATAAATTCCAAAAAAAATTCTCAGTAAATTCCCTGCTAATTCTCAATAAATTCCATAGTAAATTCCATGTAAATTCTCAGTAAATTACTCAGTGAATTCCCAGTAAATTTTTTAGTAAATTCTAAATAAATTACTCAGTAAATTCTTAGTAAATTAC